TAATGGATCCTGGAAGTAGTAGGACGTAAAGATGATTTGGTCCCGTGGATCATGCGTACCCCATACAGTCGTGATTTAGCTCCATTTAGAGGCCATATGGTTTGCACAAATTCTAGATATGGGATACAAATGAATGATGTATTTTTTACTTATTTTCCACGTAATCCTTTTGAATTTTTTTTCGGGGGGTGGAGGAGGGTGTTGTACGTTTCTTCATGGTTTAACAATTGTGATTACTTCATGATATAGCAGCGATTATTCAAAAAAGGCCTCATCACACGTTTCCCGCATAAGCAAAATAATCTCTATGTATGTTTTACTGTCAGTCTGTCAAGCTTTCATCTGAACTTGTGCAATGGCCGCCGTTACCGCCTATCTCTTGAATTGTTCTAGATTAGCTTAGAATTTGTGCAATCAAACCACAAAAGCAAAAGCAATTGCCATCTCAGTCTGATTCACTTTAAGTTGTGAACAATAAAATCACAAAGACTCAAGAACTAACACCTCGGTCAGGAGACGCGTTAATCGTATCGTTCCAACAAGAGAAGTTTGCAGAAATGTGACTGTATTGTGCAACACTTTTTGCCGATCGTGATCACAAATGCCAGTCCATTCTAGCAGTCCCCCAATTCGACGCGTTTTCGAACTGCTAACAGTCAGATTTTTACACTTCAGTTTCCAATGGCAAATCCCGTTGACCTACGGCACTCCGACCACTTCGAACTGGGAAGACAATGAAGTTATTTGGTTGAAAGACAGTAAGTTTTTCTCCTGATAACGTCTCTCTGTCAGTATTGTCTTTGAAACGGTAAATTATATTAGTTGTGTCCCCCTTTCCTTTCACCTGATTCTGATACAGTGCATAGGTGTACTTCAACCATTGTCAGCCGGACAGACAAGTAAAGCGTTCTCTCATCTTTATAATTAGACAAAACAAGACATCACTTCTACCGTTTGTGCTCTCTTAAGTGTGTTACATCATCTTCTGTGGACTACTGTCAACTGTCGTCTGCAAAAACTGCAAAGAAATCTGTAACATACATCAAACTGTTGAAATTGTTGTTCCTTTTGGCGAATTTCTGACAACAACATTAGCAATAACAACGCCTGGGAGCATATTGTACAATACGAGTATGTACATTCAAATGAGCCAGGGTTTGTACCACGCACCCCTCCTGTCACCTGTGTGATTCAGTCTAACAATATCACGGTGAATGTCATCATTCTTCATCACATTTGAGGCTTTCTGTACCGGGCTGTAAATTCACTAACAACAGCCCTGTTTGAGCCCTCATCTTCCTCTCGCAGCGCATCTCTCTCTCCGTGCCGGGGAACTCCTTTGGAATTGACCAGCTCCACAGACGTTATCCGGGAATTTAAAAGAATACGCTGTTGTCCGTTTTCCGTTTTCATCCCAAAGAGATTCGTGTTCGAACCTAACAGAGCGACTGCAAAAAAACAATTCAGACAGACTGATTTAGTCTTTTGCTGAACTCTGTCTGTCCAGTTCATATTACGATTTTTACTAATCCGTGTTCTGCTCTGCGGCAATTTCAGAATCAATGACTACTGAACTGGATATAGAACCGTCAGCATGGTACGTGTTTAATACCAAACAAGCCGGTTTCTATCGAGTTCACTACGCCGATTCCAACTGGGAAGCACTGACGAAACAGCTGATCGCCGATCACAAGGTGAGTTATTCCAGTTTTGCATAAATTTCCGTTTTTGTTCAGTTCCGTGGAACTGAACAATATCTGGTTGTGCAATCCATCCGGAATAGCTTGGATTTATACGATACATATGCACTGGGGTTTGATGGACGGGTACTGACAGGGTGTCCAGCCACTAAGCATCATAACGATTAGGGTGCTCGTACAAAGCGTTTAGTTCTGACGAGAACCTAACCGTAAGGCAGCGGGTAAAGCGAAGTAAAGACCAATTTACTCCTCTGCCATTTTACCAACTGAGATGTTAACTCGAGTCGAACCTCCAACCTGGAGGACCAGGAGACTGGACTTCGTCTGACCTCTACCCATTGACCTCCCAAGCATGATTAGATCTGTGGCTAGACAAAAACCATCCTGTGTAGCTCGTTGGGTCAGAGAGGTGCACAAGCCATCACACGACGTCAAGGTGCAGCCTCGTCGTGATGCCTACGGTACACACGAGCGTACTGAAAATAATGTGGTCGTTTGCGTAGGCACAAGACTAAAGACTGGGCACAATGTTATATTAGTGTATATATACGTACCTCTTTACACACGTCTGATTTTAGATCGTGTTCCAGACAAGTCACAGTACAACAAGTTTTATGAAGAAAAGAAAATGTCAACGATTTGCTCGTGGACGCGATACTGTCAGGTTGTCCAGGTCAAAGCAGGTGAATTTTCTGAGGGAATTCATAACGGGTGCCTTTGGTCACGAGGCAGCGGTATGGTGTGTGAAAATCACAATCTATTGGGATCGGTGCGCAGTTCATCGCAACATACGCCTTTCGAAAGAGGTTAAACTTCCAAGGTACCTAATAATAAACCTCGNACCTCCCAAGCATGATTAGATCTGTGGCTAGACAAAAACCATCCTGTGTAGCTCGTTGGGTCAGAAAGGTGCACAAGCCATCACACCACGTTAAGGTACAGTCTCGTCGTGGTAATGTCATTAGATGATTTCGTTTCGAATCAAGCTAAGCATCACAAAGAAGATGAATGTGAGGCAGTGAATGCGACAGAAGTTATCTCAATCAAAAAGGAGTAGAAGTTATTGGATCAATGGAAGCTGGCTAACGCTCGGAGTTCAGGTCGATTATTGGAGTGTACAATTGATTTAAACAGCGCGTTTGTTGATTTCCAAAAGAGAGCCAAGCTGAGACAAACCACAACTTATGATTTTGCTAATAATACATCTTTGTAATCTGCAGAGTTTTGCATTTCCGTGGGGTTCTCGAATGTGGTCATTTTTTTGCCACGGTCATTCGGTCTATCGATGGGCTCTCGCGATTGACTGGTAAGTGGGTGTGTGGAGTGAAATGTCAGATCCGAGCGATCGATAACCACCGTCGAGCGGATGCGCCTGTGTGAATGAATGAACGATACTCTCACTTGTCCTAGAGCACCGCTGAAATTGGACAGGTCATCTTAACCCAGTTTGTAAGATGTACTTCTGCGGTTCAAGTTACGTAATAATGGCTTGAATGACATTTGTGGGTCAACGATGTGTCCAGTTGTCATGAGATGTTTTGCGANCCTGGATTTCTCTTATCCGTTTGACCTCTAAGACTTTGTTGCATCATCGATTATACCAACCACCTGGGAATGTGTTCAGACATCCGTTGTGTCAGGGCCCGATTCGTTCTGCCGATGTGTCACCGCAACTGAAGGTGAACTGGTAGACAATATGTGAAGCAGAATTGTTCGGCTGGTTCTGTTTTCGATTGTCTAAACGAAGTCCTTGGGTATACTGTATCAANCTGTATCAATCGAAGCTGTGCGGCTGGAAACGTTCGACACAGTGCAGCCTTGAGCTTTGACGCACGTCGTTCGTTATATGATCACCTTTGAAGGCGAGTCTGAGGAAGACACTTTTCTTCGGTACTTCACAGGCGAGATCAACCGATGTCTTTCGTCTGCTATGCACATCGATAAATCTCTCTGGATAGCCGTTATCCAGTAGAGTCCTTCACAGAAACTCCTCCTCTTCTTGAACAGTGTCAGGGTCATCAATCGCAAAAGATCTCATGACAAGTGGACACATCGTTGATCCAAAAATGTCATTCAAGCCATTATTACGTAACTGGAACCTCAGGATTTTAGCGTTTAGCGAGGCGATGCTAATCATGATGTACTTCTAGTTTACGAATCACGTACACATTTTTCACTAGAAAATTACGAATAGATAAAACAGTAAACAATCAGTTTGGATATGGGCTAGGAGTCAATGTTCTGAGTATACCCCGTAACAGATATTGCACTTATTCCAGATGATGTTTCCTTCTCACTGCATTCGAACTGATTCACCCTTATTTTCCTTGAATGGGTTCATAATTATGTGAATATTATAGCCAACACAGTTGTATGTTATGGTGGACGTCATATAATTAATTCTGTGGTTAGTCCAACATTGCAACGGAATGGAGGAATATCTGGAATTAATATGGAATAATTGGGACAGAAAAACATCCCCTGAAAAAAGTTAGGCAGTTTCGGGATAACTATACCTTTTTCCATCAAGCTTTAGCCAAAACCCGCAATCCTTTAGCCAAAACCCACATTCCTTTAGCCTTGACCTAGATTCCTTTAGCCAAAACCCGAAATGCTTTAGTCACGACCCGCAGTCCTTTAGCCTCGACGCACAACCTTTAGTCACACCACCGTAGGGGAGTCAGAACAAAAACTATCGGTATATTCTGAGGTCAACGAATGTTGAAAAAATTTGTTTTACAAATTTTCATATTGCAAAGCTTGACTAATAAATGGGAAGGTGTGACGACCGTACGCCGCGCAGTTGACTGTAGTAACGGTATCAAATGCCACACCACATAGTGATTGGAGTAGGTTTAGACGATGTGCCCGTATCGTCAAGCCATTTGGTACATCTCGTATGGCTTCAGTGTTTTCAGTGAACCAGTTTTTAATGTGCTAAATGATAAGGGAATTAAAAGAATAAAATCTCTCACCTGTTTGAATTTACTGAAGACCTCTTCCAATGGATTGAAAAAGGGACTATATGGTGGGAGAAATCGGACATGGTGGTTGGCATTTAACTGCGAATCCAAAGCTCTCCGATGAACGGGCGCATTGTTAAAGATAAAAACTACTGGGACACCCGGTTGCTCAGCAGCGATTAGTGTAGAGCGGCTTGATCGGAACCCATTGAAAACATGCCAACTGATCGTTGGATGACATTCATATTTAAGGATACCAGTGACAGATGAACATGTTATTATGTTCAAGTTGGGTCATTTGCTGGACGGGAGGCTTCTAATGGCTTTACAGCCCACTTTGGATCGTCCATAACTGCGACTAGACCATATGTTGTGATTGGTCTCGTCAATGTACAGTCTCAGGGTTGCGTTGTCCGATCTCTGTAACCAATCGGCATGTTCTGCTCGTTTCACTTTGACAGATTCCGTGTTCCGTTCGATGGGCTGGATGGTCAGCTTCTTAACTGAATAATGATGTCCATCCAGCAATCGCTCAATGGAGGTCTTGCTGAC